GGCGGGGGCCGTGACCTGATGCCAGCCGGGCAGAGGTCTTCCTCCTTCTCGCATGCCCGGACCCCCCCGGCACCCTTGGCGGGAATGGAGGAGGGGGTGCCGGGGGCCCTGCCGCAGCAGAGGTCCTCCTCCTTCTCGGCCCCCTCGGTGCAGCCCACCCGGGGGTTTTCGGGCCCTGCTGATGCCTGCGGTCCCAGCGCTGGAGGGGATGGCGGCCAGCTGTGGTACGGCGCACAGCTGTGGTACCAGGGCGTCCCACTGTCCTTCCCCCCCAGCTCCGTGCCCGCCACCCCGAGCGTGGACTACCAGCACACCGCCGCCTACCCCCGCCCAGCCAGCCACTTCGTGGCCCATGGTCAAAACCATCGGCCCAATGGCAGCGGCGCGAGCCCCGAGCTGGGCTCCTCACGCCTGGCCTCGCGTGAGCCGACGGTTCCAGATGCTCCACAGCCGCCTTCCCTGGAGGGCGTGAGTGGCCCACGGTCGGACGCTGGGCACCCGGAGGGCTCCAGCGCAGCAAAGGTGAAGCTGCCCTGCCAGACCCTCCTTCTGCAGCCGGAGCAAGGGCCATCGGCGGCAGCGGCGCGAGCCCCGAGCTGGGCTCCTCACGCCTGGCCTCGCGTGAGCCGACGGTTCCAGATGCTCCACAGCCGCCTTCCCTGGAGGGCGTGAGTGGCCCACGGTCGGACGCTGGGCACCCGGAGGGCTCCAGCGCAGCAAAGGTGAAGCTGCCCTGCCAGACCCTCCTTCTGCAGCCGGAGCAAGGGCCATCGGCGGCTGAAGCTGGAGGCACTGACCTGACCCAGCGATCGGCGGCTGAGCTGAAGCTGGAGGCACTGACCCAGCGCCTGGAGCAGGAGATGGATGCTCGGCCGAAGGCCGATTACTTCGGTAAGGAGGCAGTCTGCCAGTCAGCATGAAAGGGGTTCATTGCAAAGTGTCACTGCAGGGTTCACACCTCCATACGCCTGCTTGGTTATTCTTTCTCAGTTTTTTTGTTATTCAACTTTTATTTATCACAGGGACTGGAGGCTTTTCCTCCTGTGACACATTTTTCTTTTATCCTATCTCTTAAATTTTAAAGCAAAGGTAGTTTAGCAGCTTTGGGGAGGACAGCACTGAGAAGAAGCTGGAGCAGCATCTTTTGAAGTGCCCTTCATTGCCGGCAGGGAGGCACTTAACTTTTCTTGACAGTACTCCTGGTTCTCCGTGTCTTAAAAGTACTCTGCCTGACCACGTGTGAGTGGGAAGGCAGCCGTCCAGCTTGTGGAGGAGTCATGCCTGTGTACTCTGCGGGCACGGAGAAGGGCACAGAGCTCGGGCGAGGCTTGGTGGTACCCCCCATGGAGGTGGCCATGGCCAGGCGTGCTTGTGGGATCTCTTGAAGAGGAGTTGCTTGGGGATGGGAAGGGTGGTGGTTTCCCAGACTTGCCAGGATTTCCCCCTGCCCCCAGGTGCTGGTCCCCATCAGCTCTGAAAGGATCGGTGCATCCTGAATCCTAAATCTCAGGTCTGCTAGTAGTCCCAACCACCACCAGAGGTTATTGCTGGTGCTTGGCAGTGGAAAGGGACTGCTTACATGTGAGGATCTCCCAATGAGAATATTAAATGTCCTGCTGGATTAAACCGATTTACTACCCCAGGATGGCAGAAGGTCAGAGGCAAATCGAGTGTTTCCTTTCCCTGCCCTGCCACTTTGCAATTTAATAATACTTCAGCTTTTAGGAGGTGGAAACCCGAAGTTGCTGGGAAGGCTGAGAACTCCGTGGTTAATTTAACGAATTATGGGAGCAGGTCTAGCGTATAGATTTTCCTCACGATTTTAGACCCACAGACACAGAAGTAGAAGCGGGGACAGATTAAACTCTTCAGCCTGGTGCAGAGGAAGGGTTTGCATCTCGGGCTGCACAGATGCCATTGCATGGGGTCCTGCCCAGTGGGGTCAGTGGGTGGCTCAGCGGTGGCCTGCACACACAGGAGCAGCCACGGGCTTCACGCCAAGCTTTGGGGACATAGCTGGAGGGACCACCGGGTGCTCAGTTGCAAATTGCATAACAAAGTGTGTTTCTTGGCATCAGGTGGTGGTACATGCCTGCAGAGGGCTGTGCTGGGATTGTTTATCTCAGTATCTGAGACTGGGTTCAGCCTTGTGGCAGGGCAGATGCGTTTTTATTCTGTCACAGAAAAGTGATGTGTCGAGTTGCTGTACTTCGAGCGTTTTGGCCTGGAAATGTGTTTTGGCGCTTTCCGTCCCGTGCGGGCAGCGCGTGGTTTGAAGGAGCTCAAGGAGCCTCATCTGGGGAGGGGGGGGCTGAACGCTGTGACAAGGAGCTGATAACGAAGATGGGGTTGGGACAACAGTCTCGTGGGAGGCGGTGCTCAAAAATGGGAATATTTTGCTGGAGGTGGCATTCAGCTCCACTGGAGAGGTGTCAGGGGTCTCTTCAACAGACCCTGCTGCGTGCGTCTTCTCCTCACGGTGCAAGTAAACCAGCTGGATCATACCTCATCCAAACTGTGCATGGGGATGGGGTGAGAAAGCAGAGAGACCTAGTTGGTGGTTAGATTATTTTTACATTTTTGTCACAAAATAGGGGGTAGCGCCAGGAGGAGGCTTTTGTCCTGTGGGAAATCTGTAGTGAAGCAGGAGTAATGCTGGCAGCATGGAGAGTCCTGCTGGTCAGGTGGCTGAGTTACCGGTGAGCCCTGGTGAGGGAGGAGAGGGGGAGGCTGCCTGATCCCCAGTGAGGTCTTTTGACATCCTCCTGGCAGGAGGTTTTACACCAGGGTGTAGTGTCTGAGAAATTGGGGAAGGAGGAGAGTGACGGAGGAGAGGGAGAGGGAAAGACGAAAGGATGCAGTCATGGCAGAGGAAGAAGTAACGGTTTGTGGAGCCTCAGCTCTGTGGAGGAAGGCTCGGCAAATCTGCTCTGCAGAGGACCAAGGAGCAGGAAGGGGCAAGTACCGAGGTATTTTACTTCTGGGCCTCTTCCCCCTTTCTTTCTCACTTTTATTTTCATTTTTTCACAGTTACCATACTTCCTTTGGAGGAGTAAAGGACCCAGCTGGTCTTCTGAATCTATCTTTGCTATTCCCTGCCCTCAAGCTAGCAAACTTTAGGATGGAAAGTAAATACTTTTATGCAATAGTGATAAAAAGGATCAGACTTTTCCCCCAGTGAAGGGAAGTCTCATGCAGCAGCTTTACAGTACATCAGAGCCAGGAAATGAAACCAGGACTGAAATGCAGATGACCAAAGTGTTTTATCTAAAATGCTTTCAGCTCTCCTAATTTTGGGCGCTGCTTTTATAACAAGGAGATTTTTTAAGATGGGTCTGTCTGTCTTGGTAACATACAGTCCTTCCGTCTGTCTCTGTCAGGACCAGATATTTATCATGGACAATTAATTCTGATCACAGTAAAGAAGCTGCTTTTTCCTTCACTATGTGAAAACGAGCATTTGTAAATGAAAGCCTAGGAAAGGATAAGCTAGGGACTAGGCATAACATAGGTAGGATGCTCTGCTGAGGAGTAACAGGCAGTCTGGTTGTCTGTCAGCACCAGCTTGCTGTACTGTCTGGACCAGATATTTATCATGGACAATTAATTCTGATCACAGTAAAGGAGCTGCTTTTTCCTTCACTATGTGAAAATGAGCATTTATAAATGAAAGCCTAGGAAAGGATAAGCTAGGGACTAGGCATAACATAGGTAGGATGCTCTGCTGAGGAGTAACAGGCAGTCTGGTTGTCTGTCAGCACCAGCTTGCTGTACAAAATCTATTTGTCTGCTCAGAGTATGTATAATAAGTGAAAGGAAAGAAGCAAACAAAGCCAAGAAGTTTCTTTTTTTAAATAGTGGCCTATGTGTGAGCAGCATGGGCTGCACGTGTCTCTGGAGGAATTTGTGTTCTCCAAGAGTGCTTTTGAAATGCTGACTTGATTTATGTGGGCTTTCGAGGAGGACATAGGGAGTCTCAGGTATCACCCAGGTCTTACGCTTGGGATGGGAAATCCTAAAATTGCTCCCTGGAGATGCTGGTTCCCATGCAGCAGAGAGGGGGCCCCAGGTCCCAGGAGGTGCTGCTAGAAGCCACCTTAGGTTATATTCAGGTTTTTGGCATACTGTTTCCAGGGACCAGCCAGGAGCGAGGTGCCTGAATCCCGCTGACTTTCCATGGTGTTCCTTTGGATGCACCAGCCTTCATCTCCGCTTGGTGAAGGGAAGATTAATTAAATAGGAGTGACTGGGGGAGTTGCAACTCTTCCACTAGCACCACCCAGTGCAATGCAGATGTTTTGGGTTAGGTGCAGTGGCACCATTCCAAGAACTGGCGTGGGACAAGCTTTCAGGTGAGAGCCAGGCAGGTGCACAACCAAACCGAGTGTCTGCCTGCACTGCCTGGAAGTGACTTGGTAGGGGAGAGGCCTGGCTGAGAGGCCTTGGGGTCTGCAGGGAGGTTTTGCCATTCGTTTTAGCAGAACCTGTGGTACCATGCAGTTCCTTGGTCTGTAGGCACAGATAGATGCTTTCAGAGGTGTAACATGTAGCATCACTTTTTTACCAGTGCTTATTTCATATAGCTAGATGGAAATCTCCATCTGATGGAGACTATCTACACCCTTACCAAGAGCTTTTTTTAAAACAATTTTTATAAATGGTTTTCTTGTTACAAGTATTTGTTAGATATTGAGTTCCATCTTCCTTATTATTTAGAGCAGAGCCGATAAGCTGCAGGTATTTTAGGAGCACCCCAGCATTTTGTTTTGCAGTGAAATATTGGGATGCTTCCCAGCAGTCAGGCAGAGAAGATCTCTTAGCGAAGTCTGCAGATTTCTTTTCCCCTTGGCAGAAGCAGAGCGGTAGCTGAGTCGCTGAAACCCCATGGAGACATGGAACCCCAGCACCTTTGAATGGGTGTGATCAGCTCAAAGGCCAGCAGCACTCTTTCGAAGTCTCGTGCATAGTGAAATTAGTGTTTTACCACTGCCAAAAATACAATTCGTTTAACTTTAAGACTGTACACACCTGCAGCCTTTACCAAACCCTGCTGATGATGGTGCACCAGGATGCTTCGGCGGCAACGAGGGTAATTTCAGGGCTGCCGAGTGGAGAATTTCTGGTTAAAAGGAAAGTTCTTCTGAGGTTTGTTTTGTACATGGGTGATGATAACGGCGTTGTTTCCACTGGGAATGAGTGGAGGCATCCCTCGCTGCCTGTTCCTGGGAGAACACCACGGCTGGAAGGAGATGCCTGTCTGCAGCGGAGAGGAGAGGGAGGCAGGGCGAGGCGGGTCCTGGTGGAACAAGGAAAGCTGGAAGGATCATGGCACGTGGACTAGTGGGTGTGTGCAGATTGCAAAGCTTTTCTCACTGCAGGGAACCAAGCAAATAAGTATTTGCCTGGGATATGGCTCTTCAAGATTACAGCAGCATGTGCTTCTCCTCCCTTCCTCTTGGGAGCTCAGCTGGGTTTGCAAGCTAAGGAAGAATCTGTACCAAAAGGAAAGAAAAAGGAAGGAGTTGAGGCAGAGGATCAATAGGTCTTTCAGACAGGATACTGTGGCAGTGGGGACTGAAAGGAATAAGGAACCTCATTCATTTGGCACTGGAGTTAATGTAATCTCTGACATCGCTATAAGGTACTTAAAATGTCACTGACGTGAGTTTGATGGCATTTTGTACTTTGCTGGCAGTGTGTGCATGACTGTCTACAGCAAAGTCGGGGGTCAAGAACATGGCATGCAAAAACAGTACAGGAAAATTGCATTTACCAAATCTGTCATTCTTTGGGCAGGGAGGACCTTTACTTGCAGGGAGCACATCTTTGCTACCACTGAGTGACGACATGGGGCTGATATGAGTGATGATACCCAGTGGTGAATGGGACCA